CTAACTGATCTGGTCAGGTGTCTGGCATTCGGTTTATTTAGAGCAGCGACCCCCCCCCCCAAACGGTGGTTCATGGACCGGCCCCTGGCCATGAGGCTTCCTGTTGCCGGTCCGCACAACATGAATATTTATAGTTAAATGAAAATAATATGTGATTAATGAATCTGCCATCGGTCCGTGGTGCATTTCCGAAACGTGTGCACCGGTCCGATGAACTTAAAAGTTTGGGAAGCGCGGATTTAGAGAAAACCTTTCTAAGCGGCCATGTGGTTCAGCAATAGGCTTCATTCAATAGGGCAAAGTGAGACTGAAAGAAAGACGTCGATTTACCTCTATAACAGTAAGGCTTGATAACCTCAACAAATAATAACCGCTCTATATTTTAAAACTGCGTATGCGTACTATGTATTCATCGGGGAGTGCGGACCGCACCGGGTGACACCATAACACGAATTTGAAAAATTGCATATTTACAGAGCCCACACTGCTCGGTCTAACACACACTGCTCGGTCTAGCACACACTGCTCGGTCTAGCTCACACTGCTCGGTCTAGCACACACTGCTCGGTCTGGCACACTCTGCTCGGTCAAGCACACACTGCTCGGTCTAGTTCACTTTGCTCGGTCTAGCACACTCCGCTCGGTCTAGCACACTCTGCTCGGTCTAGCACACTCTGCTCGGTCTAACCGAATTTCATCAAGTGATAAACGATCAGACTTAAATGTTCCACACGTGTGATCAATCCGAATGCGTGCTTTATTAAAAGTGCAAGGTTGGTGCGCCAGAAATGAGATGACCCTATAATTAGGTCGGAAAAACACCGTTCTGACCTTGAATTGACGCCGATTGAAGTGTTGGGTAGCTTTCATAAGTGAGAGGAAGCTATATTAACTTAAATTCTTAGAAATAAAGCTTTCCATTGATAGAAAATACGATGTGGTCGGGCGATTCTAATCACACGGTACAGTTCTTAAATGCATGTACCCTCCTGACCTTCAATCAATTTGTTTTTGTTCTTGTAACACGGTCGACTTATTTTTAAAAGAAGATATCGATCCTGGAAGTCGGTGAAAAGCGGGGTGGGGGCAGGGGTGACACCATGAGTTTACCGCACGGGTGACACAAATCCTAGCTACGCCTCTGATGGGAACCACATGAGTCGAAGTGATCTAAACAGACTTAACAAAGTTCAATCAAAGATTGCACGCTGTTTAATCCAATCCATTTTATTTTGGAATCTATTTTTGTTTCTTTTTTTTTATTTGCGAATCTCCACCCCACCTAACATCACAGCCGGGCACCTCGTCCAGCATAACTCTACCACCACCCTCTCCCCGCTAAACCCACATGTTCCTAAAGGGCACTTAACGTTACGATAGCAGCAATATCGGGATGAAAATGTCGCCGTGGACGCGCGAGGAGCCTGTCGAGGGGGGGAAGGTCACTCGCCCGACCTTCATTTCCGTTATGATCGCGATAGCATCCGGGGCCCGAGAAGCTGACACCTCACAGCCGCCGCTACCCCTGGAAGCTCTCTCAACGTTTCCCACCCATATTAATAAATTATATCGATGGAGAGAACGGGGGCCCGGCCCCGGGACAGTAATTGGCCGTAAAAGAATTTCACGGTCTTAGAATGATTGTGTTCCGTGCTTGATAAGCTAAAGGGGTGCTTGTCTGGGTTGGGAGGGGGGGCGCAGTGGGGAGGGTGGACACACGAGCCGACGGAGTCTCTCACCTCGATTAGGGAATGACATCAGTAGGAGTGAGGATTTCTGTGGGAGGCGAGTGCTAGACGTTATGGAAGGCAAACATTGCGGGCGTGCAAGGCACGGATCTCGTTCTGATCAAGAGGTTTGATTGAGGCAATAAGGGGGAAAAAAACGTGAAAGGAAAGACGAGAATTGCTGTGGCTAGTGATGAGAGAAACAAATGTGGAGAGGGAAAAAGTATTGCAGGGAGAGCGTGAGAATGGGAAGAAAACGGGGGAAAGGAGGCGTGGATGTGAGAAGGAAGGGAAAGTCACTTAGTTTTTGTGTGCACGACGAATATAGATTGTAATCGAATCCTCTTTTTGAAATGCAAGTTCGGTTCGTTAAGAGCTTAACTTGTTTTCGGTACCATCCTATGTTGGGTTCGGTAATAGCTTGAGTTGAGTTCTGTTCGGGTTCGGTAACAGCTTAAGTTGGGTTCGGAAATAGCTTAAGGTCGGTTCGGTAATAGCTTTAGTTGGGGTCAGTAATAGCTTGAGTTGGGTTAGGTAACAGCCTGATTTGAGTTCGATAATAGCTTGAGTTGAGTTCGGTAAAAGCTTCAGTTGGGTTCCGTGACAGCTTGAGTTGGATTCGGTAATAGCTTGAGTTGAGTTCAGTATTAGCTTGAGTTCGGTTCGGTAATAAACTAAAGCTCGGTTTTCTGCAAACAATTAAGTTTAGCACAATCTGTAAATTATCTCAATTTGAAATTATTTTCGTTTCGTTTTAAAGAAAATAAAAGCTATATAAATTTTTATAAACTTGAGAGTTAAAATAGAAATAGAGAAATACACCACTAAAAAAGAGGAACATACATTTTATTGATCTAGCATACGTGGATTGACAAAATTATAAATAAAGCTATCAAAGAACACTTGGATTTATAGAACTATTAATACAGCTATCATAAAACACCAGGATTCATAGAACTATAAAATAAAGCAATTAAAGAACACTATAAACACTATACAACAAATCTCGTAAATGTTCACAATGCCATCATGTATGCAAGGCTTGGTCTAAGCCTGCGGTTCTCAACCTGTGGGTCGCGACCCCTTTGGGGGTCGAATGACCATTTCCCAGGGGTCGCCTAAGACCATCGGGAAACACATATACTCTACAGTTGTGAAGTAGCAACGAAATATTATTGTGGTTTGGGGTCGCCACAACATTAGGAACTGTATTAAAGGGTCGCGGCATTAGGAAGGTTGAGAACCACTGGTCTAGGCGTTCCTGGCTTGGTCTAAGCCAGGGGTCGGCAACCTGCGGCTCGCGAGCCGCATGCGGCTCTTTTGATGTCAAGATGCGGCTCTCCAGTTCCATGCGCAAATATTAATAAGTATACTAAAATAAAAATGTTAGTGGCTCTTTAAAAACTGGGAAATTTTGTAAAGTGTAACTTTTGGTTCTTCTGTCTCAAAAAGCTACCGACCCCTGGTCTAAACCATCATGGCTTGGTACAAAACATCATTGGTTGGTACAAAACGTCATTGGTTGGTATACAAAAATAATAACACGAAAGAAACACATATGAATAATTACGTCATTCGACCTGCAATCCTTATGAGACACTCTACTCTAAACCGACAGTGAGAGGGAGAGAACAAGCAGATTAGTGGAGTAGACTGGACATAAATAGCTCAGATTAGCGACAAATGAAAAAGAAAACGTGGATGGACTGTGCACGGCCAGGAGCCAATAAGAAAACGTGGATGAACTGTGCACCGCCAGGAGCAAATAAGAAAACGTGGATGAAATGTGCACCGCTAGGAGCAAATAAGAAAACGTGGGTGAACTGTGCACCGCCAGGAGCAAATAAGAAAACGTGGATGAACTGTGCACCGCCAGGAGCAAATAAGAAAACGTGGATGAAATGTGCACCGCTAGGAGCAAATAAGAAAACGTGGATGAACTGTGCACCGCCAGGAGCAAATAAGAAAACGTGGATGAACTGTGCACCGCCAGGAGCAAATAAGAAAACGTGGATGAAATGTGCACCGCTAGGAGCAAATAAGAAAACGTGGGTGAACTGTGCACCGCCAGGAGCAAATAAGAAAACGTGGATGAACTGTGCACCGCCAGGAGCAAATAAGAAAACGTGGATGAAATGTGCACCACTAGGAGCAAATAAGAAAACGTGGGTGAACTGTGCACCGCCAGGAGCAAATAAGAAAACGTGGATGAAATGTGCACCGCTAGGAGCAAATAAGAAAACGTGGGTGAAATGTGCACCGCCAGGAGAAAATAAGAAAATGTGGAGGAACTGTGCACCGATAAGAGCAAATAAGAAAACGTGGGTGAACTGTGCACCGCCAGGAGCAAATAAGAAAACGTGGATGAAATGTGCACCGCTAGGAGCAAATAAGAAAACGTGGGTGAAATGTGCACCGCTAGGAGAAAATAAGAAAATGTGGAGGAACTGTGCACCGATAAGAGCAAATAAGAAAACGTGGGTGAAATGTGCACCGCTAGGAGCAAATAAGAAAACGTGCATGAAATGTGCACCCCTAGGAGCAAATAAGAAAACGTGGATGAAATGTGCACCGCTAGGAGCAAATAAGAAAACGTGGATGAAATGTGCACCGCTAGGAGCAAATAAGAAAACGTGGATGAACTGGGCACCGCCAGGAGAAAATAAGAAAATGTGGAGGAACTGTGCACCGATAAGAGCAAATAAGAAAACGTGGATGAACTGTGCACCGCCAGGAGCAAAAAAGAAAAGGTGGATGAAATGTGCACCGCTAGGAGCAAATAAGAAAATGTGGATGAACTGTGCACCGGCAGGAGAAAATAAGAAAATGTGGAGGAACTGTGCACCGATAAGAGCAAATAAGAAAACGTGGGTGAACTGTGCACCGCCAGGAGAAAATAAGAAAATGTGGAGGAACTGTGCACCGCTAAGAGCAAATAAGAAAAAATGGATGAACTATGCACCAACAGGAGCAAATAAGAAAACGTGGATGAACTGTGCACCGCCAGGAGCGAATAATAAAAAGCAGAAAAAACCGAAGACACGCATCTGTCAATGCACATGACAGACACGGAGCTGCATGAAAGGTGTCGGGGGGGGGGGGGGAGAGGGGCGGCTTATATAGCAAACGGAAACTTTACAATAAATGTAATACTATTCCCTCAGTCTACAATATATCAAGGACTTTCGCTGAACCTGACCGCGACTGACAACCGAATCATTGTTTCATAAAAATAATGATCAAAACCATGGCCAGAAAACTGGTGGCCGCCGACGTGAAGAAGAGCCAGAACCAACCCCCTGACTGCAGTAAAACTTCGTTCAAAGTGGGCGAGATGAGACTTGCGAGCATCATTGCCGTACCTATGAGCCCCAGGTTGGTGTTGTAGTGTGTTATTCCGTACAACTTGAGCACCGTCATTGGGTACGTCACATAGATAGCGGACTGAAACACCGTCAGGCAGAATGTCCAGAACGTGTACAACCACCGGCTGGTGGAGGGCGTGAAGTACCAGAGGACTAGAAAGAAAGAGTTCGGACCCAGGGCGATGACGATGGCGTCCTTGATGGTTGTGATGCGCCTGTCCAAGAGCCGGCCGAATAACAGACGGCTCGGCAGCACGAACAACGGCCATACCGTGCCGACGGTCGTCAGAAACTGGTCGTCGTCTATCCAGACTTCTGCCATTATTTTATAGTAGTTGTTCTTCTGGAGGAATCCGTACTGCAGCGCTGCTAGCGACGCCCAGATGATGTAAAACCGGCGTTCTCTCAACATGGCCACAGGTGTGTAATCGGGATTATGCTTCGCCCCTGATGGGAGATCTGAAGACACGGACTCATTGGTGCATTCTGGTATTTCTGGTGTTGGCTTCTCCAGCTGCACTGCATGATATTCTATGTATCTTTCATGTTCATTATTTGCCTCAAAAGTCGCATAATTCGTCTGTTTCTCACTGTTGAGGGGTTCTGCGTATACGTCCACAAGTGGTGGAGTTTCCGTGGATGAATCCAAATTCACTGAGTTTTCTTCCTTCTCGACGGTCACCTGGGCTTCCTGGAACGTGTTACCTACTGATGAAACTTTCAAAAACACGACGGCCGCAATGTGAAACCCGACGGAAAGGGTTCCCAGCAGGAGGAATACCGATGGAACATGGCTTAACACGTCCGCATCAGAGAAGTATATCCCCATTCCATAGCTCTCGTCCACCTTTTCATTAGCAGGGTTAATGTAATACGTGATCAACTGGTTGACGATGACAGATCCCAAGGTGCTGGAACTAGACACACACGCATACAAGACGCCGGCATGCTCGGGCATCATCACCGTCACGTAGAAAAGGCTCAAGGCGAGAGCCGCGCCATGCCCAAGACCAGCCATGGCTCCAAGAGTGGCCACGGTCGCTGCCACAGACGACTGAACGGAAAAGTAGCTCAGGAAATAACCGATGTCGGCGAGGAGCAGCGCCGAAACGAACGAAGCGAACAGTCCCAACTTTGCGACCAGGGGTCTGGCGCACAGCATCCCGATGGTCTGAAAAACGACATAGAGCGAGAGTATCGACGAGGAGCTCATGTCGTCGCACTTCGAGCCGCACGCCACGACGAAATACGAATCCATGTACGCGACGAGGTTGCCGTAGAAGTACAGCACCCCGTTTGTGAAGTTGGCTAAGATGGTGCCGGCGACGGCAGCGCACAAGGCGCATTGCCATCGTTGGTGCCGGCACGGAGAGCACTCTCCGGGGGCTGCAACCATTGTCAAAACGGATACAAGAGGCTCATATTCTATTTCATCAATGCGTTGAACTGTTCAAGCAGAGCTAATCCTTAAACAAACAAACAAAGAAAAGGCGAATAACTAATGTTTCACAACGTTACTTGCACTGACAGACTCCTCCCAGCCGCTTCCGCACGGAGAGAAGGATTTTATGAAATGACCTGTTTGAAAAAAAAATCACGTGCAACTATCCGGCTTTAACTCCAACTCTCGTACATGTCGTAACAATAGACCTGTGAGTCAGACCCAGGTGAAACAAAAAAAGTTGTTACACTTTGCTTTACTAATACACGGCTTCTCAAACTTTATTTTGACGGCCTGACGGGAATATTTTGCCCTCTTGCACCTGTTGTGGACCGATACCCTGGATGCTTTCGGGGATGTGGTGGTCCCATGTCCACAATTTTGAATACCATTGAACTATCACGCTGTGATATATTCATATTGTAATTCGCATATTGTATTACAGAGTGCAAAACTCTCAAACTAGATTTAAATATGTATTTATTTTATATATTTCAACATAACGTTCCAACAATAAAAAACCAGGGCCGGCTGAAGGCAAGTGTGAGGGCCGGCTGTTTAGCAAAGTGTGGGGCCGGCTGTTTAACAAAGTGTGGGGCCGGCTGAAGGCAAGTGTGAGGGCCGGCGGAAGGAAAGGCAAGTATGAGGGCCGGCTGCTTAGCACAGTGTGGGGCCGGCTGTTTAGCAAGTGTGAGGGCCGGCTGAAGGCAAGTGTGAGGGCCGGCTGATGGCAAGTGTGAGAGCAGGCTGAAGGCAAGTGTGAGGGCCGGCTGTTTAGCAAGTGTGGGGCCGGCTCTTTAGCAAGTGTGGGGCCGGCTGTTTAGCAAGTGTGGGGGCCGACTGAAGGCAAGTGTGGGGGCCGACTGAAACGACGATTAGTCGTGTACGCAGGGTGGCAAAGGTCTATTTGAAGGTTTGAGAACATTTCATTTTATATTTTTTTTTTTTTTTTAACACATGCTGCGGTTTTTCCGGCTCAAAGCCCTGATGTAATTAATAACTAACCATTTCTATTAATTATGATAAATGTCCCCCGATCAACGTATGTCACAGCTTGCCACAAAGAGCAATAATCTTGATGTGCCACTCAGAGAACAGGACAGTTGGGTTGAGTGACGCGCATGGGGAAGTATGAAATGGTCATCACAAGGCGTCGCTAGGTTGGCGCTGATATATCGAAGCGTGTTGTTGCCAACGTCCAATGTATCCTTCATGTGCCCGCCTTTCCCCTTCCCCACCTTCAGGTGGTTGTTTGATTCTCAGAGCCCCGGTCTAGAGGCTGGTACTTTGGATGTGTAATGGTAGATAAATGTACAATTTGATGTAACTCTGTTGGTTTTTTTTTTTTTTTTTTTTTTTTTTTNACTAATTGTTCATTTACAGTAGAATGTCGATTATCCGAACTAATTGGAGGAGGAGAAAAAAAAGAGTTTGTGTGTGGGGGTGGGGGGCGGTTCTGGGAACCTATTGTCTGGAGCACTCCCCAATATAAAGTGGCGTTAAAGAAGTTAGAACATAGAATGCGCAATATCCTTACTTGATACACGCATGGTGGTTTACTGTACAGTGTACGATATTTGACAGTGGTCATCAAGAGGGCGTTGTTTCAAACTGGATTTTATCGGAGTTTTTTGCAATTGTTTTGCAGTGTCTGTGTACCAAACATTTGTTCCGTCGCATGCACATTTGCACATCACGTAGGATTATATATTTTTTTTTAAAAACTGGGGAAATTCTTAAAACTGGCGCATCAGATAAATGACATTCTACTGTGTGTGTATATATATATATATATATATATATATATATATATATATATATATATATATATATATAAAAAAAATTATTTATATATATCTATCATATAT